ACGTGATATCTATCATTATGCATGTGCAATCTATGCAAATCGCATTGTCGAGCTTTATATTCGGCGTCCATCGCGAATTTTCCGTCTATTCTCCGCCCATTTTTCCCTAACGAGCTGGACACGTATTGTGGAATTATTCGGAATGAATTCCGACCAAAATCATTCAATTAATCCCTAAAGTGTTTGTTTTTCCTAAAGAAATAATTGCAATTAGAATTGTTTAATTATTCTCTACGGAAAGGACGTTTTGTTGAAGTAAATACAAATTTATTTACAGGTCTTTAAATACAGAGCTGAAAATAATTTTATCGAAACATCAAAATAATTACGTAGAAATTTTAAGTACGACGAGCAATACGGTAAAAAGTTTTGACATTTTAGCAACCCAGTTTGAACGTCCTACATAATTATTTTGATAAGCCAACAAAATTATTTTCAGATTTGTGCACCTAGTTAAATTTTTAAATTTTTAATACTTGAATAAAACTATATGTACTCTCTACTTTTAGATTAAATCTTTCTCTAAAGAATAAACGCTCACTCATAAAATTGAAAATTTAGCTATCTCTTTTCCAAGACTGACTGAACTTTCATTCTTGTTAGAGTAAAATTCCACTCCAAAAAATTACGTAATACGTTTTTATTGTATTATCTAGAAGACAGAATAATTTCGATTTATTCTATTTACTTTAGATAACCCAAAAGAAATCTACATGAAAAAGGAGCAGTTTTGTGAAGGATAAAGTTCAAAAACTAGATACAGGTCTGAAAATAATATCCATTCTGAACAGTTCCATAATACATGCCCTGCTCGGCTAAGCAAGTTACAGTATCAGCGTATACAATTACACTATATCACTGTAACATCGCTCCACATAATATTGTGTCATGAAAAATTACGCTTATACAAATACCTACTTACATAAAACAGTGGTCATGAAAAAAAGAACTCGCAGTATTGTTTCCAACGGTTTTAATAATGCGCAATAACTGTTCGCGTTTGAGGTATGATTAGGCAAGCGTCTCGATAACGCGACGACATCCTTATCCCCATTACACATACGTGCCGATAATACTATTGATAAAAGAATGACCGATACCGATTGCATGTGGATATTCATAACGCACAGCGATAGAGGAGGAAGAGGAGGAAGAGGTGGAGGAGGAGAAGGAAGAGGAGGCGGTGCGACGCGGCGAGGTCGGGTTCACAAAGTTGCATAAAAAGTGAAGGTGACCGGCGGTGATTCACGGGGGCTGATGCCCTCGTTGTCTGGCATTCGGTTTATGGAGGACGGTGGCGGTGGAGGAGGAGAGAAGAGAAGAGAAGAGCAGAAGCAGCAGCAGCAACAACAGCAGCAGCAGCAGCAGCGGCGACGGCGGCGGCGGAGGAAGAGGAAGAGGACGAGGAGGAGGAGGAGGAGGAGGAGGGTCCTTGCCAACCGGCCTGCCGGCCGAACCGGGCGAGCTTCATCGGGAACGGTCCGGCTCTTTGTTTTGGCTGGATCGCAGCCGACGCGATTCCGAGTAGTATCTTGCTCCGATGCGTATCTCGTTACGGGCCCGGCCCCGGCGCGATTGAAGCGTAAATCATTTTTTTCAACGCGACCGCGAAATCGCCCGCCGATTCGCCCACACGCGAACGAGAGCGAGAGAAGTCTCACGCTTGACCCGAGGAACGCACAAAACCAACAAAAAGTCAAAACGACTTTATTTTGACGCCAATAAAGAGTCTAATTCTGTAACCAAAATTCATCATTGACGTCATGAAAGTGATTCTACACATTTGGAGTTATTTTTATTGGAAGGTTTTCTAATCTTTTTTGGGAGTTACAAAAATCTTTCCCACATTGAGAGAGAACAAATGATCGTAATTACTATAATTTAACTAATTTAGTAATTATGTTTATTGTCAAGTACATTGAAAAAAAAATTACTAAATTTTTATAAATATTTGTTTGAATAGTTTTCAGTAAATATTTACTTAATAAAAATGATAGTTAAATTAAATTAATGATTTTTGTATCGAATAAATATATATTTTCATTTAGTAAATATTTATTTAGAATTATTTAAATAAATATTTATCAAAATGTAGTATTTTTTAGAGCATATATACTTTTTTTTGAAAACAATTATATTTTTACTTTTTGCTAAAAAATACGACTATGAATATAATTATATTAGCATTATAGTAATAACTAAGAAGCTCCTAACACAATTATTGTACCATGCAATTACATTCACAAATACTAAACACTTTTCCCTCAATATACTTTTTTCACTTAGAGAACCGTTACTCTAATATCCGAGATAACGTAATGTTATATCGAATGAGGAAGTCGTATTTCTGAGACATAAAACAGCGATAACGTGTAACAATTTTGATTTAATTTTCCGTCTGTTGGGTTGCTTTTTGTACCTTTGATATCCGAGCTTAATATCCCTTCAACCCTCGCACGAAGGCGCACCCCGAAGGGTAGCGATTAAAATTCGTAGAATGTAGGCAGGACGGTGGGATCGATAGCAGCCACTGACTTGTCAGTGATTGCGCCCACTTGCAGCGACTATAAATACGTAAAGATAGAACTGAATCAACGTTTGATGATAATGTATTTACTCGAATCTACTTGACATTCATTCAAAGTCTATTTTGCCTCTGCAAGAAAGAGGAAAATATTATTTACTTCTCAATTTTCCACGTAAGATATTTCCATAAATTAAGATTCAAAGGAAGATTACAAGATTACGATATCAAAGAAGTAATGGTAACTCATTTACGTAAGTTTAAATAACATTTTGTTATTTTAACTTCCATACACATAAAATCAATCCATCTCTGTGTTAAATTACTTAATTTCAAAATAAACAATGTATATTAACGTACATATTTAAATAATAAATTAATCAGCTGTTTGCATTTTAGATAGACACATCCTTTTTTTGTCCAGCCAAAGTTTTTTCATGCTTTTAGATTAAAAAAAAATCTTCTTTTACTTTTTAGCATCTTTAATACATCATTAAATATTTTTTTAACTTAAATGTTAAAATCTTTTTTATTTCAATATTTTAATTTTATCTTTATTTAATGAGGACAAAATTTGAAAGTAAAATTTTTCAAAAAGAAATCCAGGTAGCAGACAAATAGCTAAATTTGAATTTTTAATACAATATATACAGAAGAGTAGTAAACGATCTGAGAAAAAATAAAAGTGACTGAAATTTACAGTAATTTGACATCATAAATTTAACAGTGTGAAACACATATAAATCAATCGCAGAGAGCCGGGCATTTCCTATCCAATCTACTCTTTCTCTCAAAAACACTTTGATAATTCTGATGTTTGATTATTTAATTCGCCCATCGCTCGAAAGCTTTCCGTGTACTTCCGACTTTAGTCAGAAGTTCGACCTCGTATAATATTTCAACCCATTATCGATAATCAGACATTTTCGTCGATTTCCCGGAATGAATCAGATACACCATTGAGCAAGGCATTCTATTTGACGCTCACAAACATACAAGCATCATTGGCTTGTCTAATATATATATAAACAAGAAGTCTGTTTTCTGTGAATGAATTAATATACTTTTGAAACTTAAAGTAAGATAGGTACATGTTTTGATATTTGGCGAAAGCGAGAAAGACTGCAGTTCTAATGCAGTCTAAAAAAATAAAAACAGACTTAAGAGTGAAATAAAGAAGCAAAAAGACTGCGTTCAGAAATGTTTCTAATATTTGGTAAACAACAAGAATAAAATGGCTATCTTAAAGTCGATCTATGTTTGTTGAGAATGATTCCAAAGTGAATCAAAACGTACGAATACTTGAAATGTATGCAGCAATTTTATAATTATAATTTCTCAATCTCATAATTATAGCTTTAAAAATATTTCTTATTGCGCGTCATGATCTGCGTTTGCACTCTCAGACAGCACAGAATATTTATGATAAATATTTATTATTAATCATTTTCTTAAATGCTATATATATATTTTATATAAATTCTTTATTCGAAATATTGTTAAAAGATAGACTTATAAATATTTCATATAATATTTATAATAAATATGAATAAATATTTTTGTTAAATATTTATTTGAATTATAATGTCTTAAATATTTCCCTATCATTTACTACAAGGTCTACAATAAATATTTCATAATAAATGTTTATGATCTGTGCAGTCTAAGATCACAAAAATATTTAAAGTAAGCCTCATAAATATTTATAAATATTGTGTGTTGTCTGGATTGGCCCATCCTCGTTTATCATTTAATTTTGAGAGTCCATTATTTTTATATATCGTTAATCGACCTCCAAACTCGATCTTTGAAGTGACGTACGTGAAAGAGGGTGCCTCCAGTGCTTTTGAATAAATTGCTCTTTGTTTTTTTATTTTCAAATTTCTTATATCAGAACGGACACCGCGATTAATTATGAAAGCAATGAGTTTAACCCGGGGGGGGGGGGGGGGGGGGGGGCCCCGCCGCCCCCCCCGACAGTCGGAACACAGAGCGGAGTGGGGGACCGGACGGTCTGACGCAGAAGCGCGTCAGGAGAAGTTGGGAGCCGGTCGCAACGACAGTGGTGGGGAGGGACAGCAACCGGAGGCGCGGAGGGAGGGGGGGAAGAGGGGACAGGGGAGCACGACAGCGACCGCCACACACAAACCGACTATAAACCAGGCGTAACTTGCCCCCTCCCGCGTGCCCCGCGACCCACGTTCCCCGCATACAGCAACACGCACACACACGCGCGCGCGCGGCAACCCCGTCCAGTCAGCCTTCTCGGCACAGCGCAGCCAGACGACATTGGGGCCAAGACGGCGGCACAGCAGTCGCCGTCCGAGTCTCACGCGGTGTGCGCAGTCAGTCAGTTGTCAGCCCGGCTTCGTAACGAGCGGACGTGTGCGTCTGCGATCTCGCCCGCGTCATACATACTTGTTACAGATATAGTACGTACTTCGCGTACGCGCGCCGTATTATATATATATATACATTCGCCGAGCTCTCACGCAGTGCAACGACGCGTACGTGTCGGATCGCTGTCACCCGCGAGAGCGCGGAGTTCAAGTTCACCTCGTTTGAAGGAGGAGGAGGAAGGAAGATTTCCAGTGGCATTTCGAGCATTCTCTTTATTTTTTCGGGAGTGCCTCTCGTCTCTCGTTTTACGCGAGTGTCCCTCCTAAGGACCCGCACACGTACTGTACGAGTCTCGGAGTAATTTTTTTTTTTTTCCTTTCGAGTGCACGGCGGATATCACACAGAGTGCCCACGCTGTGTGTCCCACGCCGACTGTAAAGTCGCCGAGATTCGTGTTACGGGGACGACTGTTATGTCGCTGTGACAGCGGCGCGCCGGAGGTTCGATGAACGGGGCACCGCGTGCCGTTCCCGTTTCGACGATCGCATCGCGATAGTTACGCGCCTGTGGAAACCACACAGGGGAAAACTGTATTATACGCTTTTGACTATTCTGCGCCCGAAGGTCGACAGGATCAACGACAAAGTGGATCGCTGTTCCATCGCGCGCTCCGGATCGACGGAACCTTTCAAGATTGGTGAGTACGAGTTTCCTCGACCCACGCTGGTGAAATCTTTCAAGTGATCCTTTGAAGACTCGACTTGTGTTGATGATGCTGGAAATCGCTCTGAATCTTCCGAGATCTTTCGGACGAGGAAAGAATTGCAGTCGCTTTGGTCGAATTGTGATTCGACTGAACTGTTCGCTCTAAAAAATGTCGGTGTGGGTTTAACATCATGTGATATATAATTCTATATAATGTTCACTCTGTTGATGTTGTATTAACATCAACATGACGTGAACTTGTAACCTCTGGTGTTTACATCAGCGTCTTCATGGTGCGTCGATTTAAAACCCATGGTGTTAAATCGACATCATATTAGTTAATATTAACGATGATTCACACTGACATTTTTTAGAGAGTGTAATTTTTTAGAGAGTTTAAATGTGATTTATCAATTTCTAGACAAAGTCCAAACTCTTAAAACTACGTCTTTGACGTCTTTAAAATATTACTGTGAGTGAACTTTCAAGTTTAGAAACTAATTCAAGTTCAATACAGTTTTTGATAACAAATTTTGGTGGCTTAAAGTAATAAAATTGATAATATTCATTTTTTTACATTAAAGTAGTGTCAGTTATTCTTGCCTTGCGATTTACAAAGTATAATTAAAAAAGTGTAAAAATATTCTGAATTACGTGACCGAATTGTGACACAAAGTAATCGATGTAAGAAAAATATGAGTAACATTCCAAGGTTAAGATACTTTTAAGACGTCCCGTGTCCCAATTCTGGACTTTGTATTGTTTTTTCTCCGTCCGAGATCTCGGAATGATTTTTTACACGGAAAGGATGACTTTATGGAGTATCTGTAAATTTAAGCTAAACACAAATCTGAAAATAACTTCATTAGACGATCACAGTAATTACTCGTGCAGTACAAGACTTCAAAGGATATTCTGAGAACGTTCTCAGGTGTCTCTAATTAAATAAAATGTGCTGTGGATATTTGGACTTCAAGCTGCTAGAATGTGAAAATTTTTTACAGCAACGTCGTCATCAGCGTTTAATCATCCCACATAATTATTATTTATCGTCAAACAAAGTTATTTTTAAATCTGCATCTCAATTTTTAAATGCTCCCACAAAATCATTCTTTCCGCTTAACGACGCGAACACACAATTACGTCTCGTTACGAAATCGTTGCAGAAACGCCAGTCACGTCAATTCATTCGTGCTATAAACGTAATAAGAGAACGATCGGCGACGCGAGTATAAAAAACAACGACACTTCAAGAGTGTGTCGTGTAATTCGAGAAAGTTGACGAATCTCTCGATCTATTCTCGGAATTGTTTGTTGAATTTCTTCGAAGATTAAAAAAATTTCATTCCGCTCTTTCGAGACCGTGAAATTTGTTCGACACTCGTCACGCTCGCCATCATCGATCGCTTCGATTCGCGATGTTAGAAGCATCATCCAAGAACACGTCAACACGTGCTTTTTCCGCAGGCAGGTGAGACGTCAGAAACGGAGAAGCGTGCGAAACTTCGAGTCACGGTCCGAGTCGTTTTGACAGATTCCTATTATCTCGCCGAGAGATCTCTATTATCTCGAGCTCGTTGGAAATCGACGTGTCGCGAGCGTCGAAAATTTCTAAATTACATCGCAGAGTTGTTATCGTACCAATTGAACATTCTTGATGCGTTCTAAAAAGTGGGTGTAGATTTAACATCATGGGTTTTAAATCCATACCATATCGTTGTTGACATCAGCATCAATATGATAATTATATATAAACATCGCATGGTGTAAGATGTATTCGTATTTTTTTAGAGTGCAGAGGTGATACGAAGTTTTTGCGGGATTCTGCAAAGCCCCAAGTCCATTTCTCTTTGTCTCCATTTGTCTTGTCGAATTATAATAATAATAATACAATAGGGTAATAATAAGAAGCTTTATCGACGTGCAAATAGTATTTTATAAACGTTGAGCGCAATGCAGTGAATTGTCACTCTAAAGACTAAAATGTCACACTTTTTCAAAGATTGTGACTCAGCTTTCATTCTTTGGAATGAGATTCCACTCCAAAGAATTTAAAGCACCCGAAGAGATGATCAGGCGTCAGCAACAGTGTTTGTAAGCCTAGAACTTAATTACGATGTAATTGATAAATAAAATAAAACAGAGAGAAGAATTACACGATAACAACCTGCGGCACAAAGTTGCACAAAGGTTGCTGCAACATTGTAGCAACATGTAATGTTGCTGCAATTTCTGGTAAACGCGAGACGTACGTCTCTAGTACGTCGATTTCGCGATTGGCCGAGGAGCTCGCGAAGCCGTGAATGACGCAATATTCGCGATATTCGCGAACGTGATCATCCCGGGATGCATTCATTGTCCGGCCGTGCACGGTGCGGTATCTTATCATCGCGATATATTCGCCGGCTGAATCACGCAGGCTCTCTCGAATAACGCAGGTGTAGATAAAGACCATCGGGGTGTTGCGAGAAATGCAATTAATACGATGACGTCACGCGCACTACGAGGATAAAGCGACGTGTTCGCCACGCGCGTACTTATTATGTACCGAGATCTTACGAAAGTGGCATGCAACACGCGCGCCGTTGTTTCGTTCATTTCCTTGCGTCATCCCCTCTCCCCCCCCCCCCCCCTCCCCCCCTCCCTCTCCCCCCCCTGCTCCTCCTCTCCTCTCCTCTCCTCTCCTCTCCTCTCCTCTCCTCTCCTCTCCTCTCCCCCTCCCATCTCTCTCGGTCCCACGTTTTCGATTTTGTTCCTTGCGTGCCCCCCCCCCCCCCCCCCCCCTCCTTCCCGCCTTCGCGTTATCCCTCGTTACTTTGTAGCGGGGAAACATTCCGGGATAACCAGTGTCGTCAGGACTAAAAAGTTCTGTTTTTGTTTCAACTAAAATGACGTACCTGATTGAGACGAATTGTATCAATAATTTATATCATATTCCTTTTGTCTGCAATTTATTATACTTTCTGCACATTCAAAATGAAAATATACAATTCTCTCTTTTTTCCTTATCCTTTCTTCTTTTTCACAAAAAATATCTATGTATTCTATTATGATATACAGAGCCACTAAAATTTTAATCATTTAATTGAATAATTCAGAATTTTACTGAGAGTTGAATAGTCGGTAAAAATATATGATAAAATATATGATGATATTTTCGTTTGTGATTTATTGCTTTTGTATTTAGATCGAACGTTGAATTTTTCTAATATTGTATCAGAAATTGTACAAGATATTGAAATTGCACACTCTATAAATATTGCTGTAAAATTTAACATGGACACTATGTAGTGTCCATATAATTCTCTCACCATGCTGGTGTTGATATTAACATTAAAGAAACCCCAAAAAATGTGGAATTAAATCCACATCATATTGGTATAAATATTAACATCAACACAATGAGAATTATATTATAGGCACATACGTGGTGTGTTAAATCCACACCGAATCTTTCAGAGTATATCAAATTTTATCTTTTCTGAAATGCAAAGTGAAATATCGAAGTATTACTGTAGTTAGAAGAGTATTAAATCTAGTATTATTCCATCAAGCCTAGATCTATACTACCAAGAAGACTGATCATGTCACGATTCCGATTTCGCAGCGAGGATCGGTTAGAACGGAACGCGTGTGTGACGTTCCGCCTTCGCGATACGAAATGCGTTTGCGAAATGCATCGCGATCAAGGATCAAGGTCGGATTTTATTTTTATCCTTTCGACTCCGCCGTCGCCGTTCGCGCGCTCGGTTACGTGAGAAGAATCGATATTCTTGTCGTACGTAAGACAACTCTCTCTCCCTCTCTCCTATTAACAGCCAGTTATAATTTAAAATCAACCAATCGCGACGAAATTGATTAATCGGGACACATTACGAAATCGAGATACGGCGATAGCGTTGCCCTGCCGCCAACGATCGATGTTCGTAAGTTCTTTCACGTGGCTGCGGCCACGGAAGCTACCGAAAGGAGTGATACATCGATCGCGAGATCCTCTATTCCTCTCGCGAAACGGGAACCTCTCCCCCCCCCTCTCTCTCTCTCTCTCTCTCTCTCTCTCTCTCTCTCTCCTCTCGTTGCACCGATTCCCTTTCCCCATCGATCTCCTCCCACCACGCGCTGCTTGCCGCTACAGCTCTCTATCAAAGTGGGCCACGGTCCAATTTATGGAGCTCTTTCAACCTCGTGGCGTAAAACCGTCCGTGCAATAAGCCTCACGGACTCCTGCCCGAAGGGCACGCACATGCACCCACTCGGGAGATCGCTTAGAATCGCTGAGAAAAATGGTCTGGAGTATTAAGTAGTAATTCTGGTGAAAAATGGACGAATCGGAATTTTCTGATTAAGTCTACTAGAATTTTGAGAGTTGAGACAACTAAATTCTGGAATTCTGGTTGATAATTATTCTGGTAAAAATAAGAATTCTAGTGGATTCGTCAGAAGTATTGTATGAACCAGAATTCCGATCAGCTCAACTGGAATTCTAATAAATTTAACCAGAAAATTCTGAGCCGTCCATTTCCAACTAGAAATTTTTTTCAGTGATTGACGGAACGTGACTGATACGTGGGCAGAAAATTTCCAATTCCATTGAATCGCCGAAGAAAATCGAGAGATCGAGAAGGAACAAAGAACGAAGGAGATGAAAAATCAAGTTATTGACTGCAGAAAAAGTAGCTTTGCAACTGTTGTAAGATTCTCTTATGTGATTGGATTTTACTCTTAGTTCTTCATTGGACTTAAATGTATAAACCAATCATATAAAGTATAAAGAATCTTATAATAATTGCAAAGTTGTCTCTCTCTCTGCTAAACGCAGCCATACATTGTATAATGTAATCGCGCAGTTGCCTAACAATTAAATCGACAAATGGATACAGTGATAACGTACCGTGATAACGTATCAGGCACGCTGTAATTTTATCTAATGTGAGTTTAAAAAACTATTCTCACGAAAATAATTCTTATAAATGTCGTATTACGACATCTATA